AGAACACGGCCACACAGCCCGGAAGACCCACACCAGGCATCATATCATGTCTTTATTGACTTTTGAATATACTTTAGTAAATGGATTAAATGACCCAGTGTTCTTCACTATTTATATTAAGGAAAGAGGCACAAAACCTGCAGAGGTGGTCATGATGACCTTTACTCCTGTTTATATGGCAAGTAATGCCACATTGTTTTGGGCAACCTAAACATGTTAGTGTTTCCATAAGGCTGCTTAGTTTTATAGGCAACGGTGAATTACTTGAGTACTAAGTTGGTGTTGTAAATCAATAAATAGTATGTGGGAGACTGACATCAATAGCCAACCACTTATGTGTGCGTTACATTCTATTCTCTTGCGTTGCTACCAGATATGAACTGCAACAATAACTAGTAGATGGCAGCAAATAGAGCTTTCCGTGTCTCACTGATCCCTTTTAGTGGTTGTCTGGATTGTTGCAGTCCAGATCTGGTGATAATAATAATAACAACTATTGTTCGTTTTTTAGAAAAAAAATAGTGAAGTGTAAAACAAAAAAGAATATAACAATTTAAAAAGTTACATACATTATAGTGATTTAAGTAAACTAAACAAAGTGTAGTAGTAGCAGCTTCATTATAATTCCTGAAGAAATGGAAATTTAGGGACCTTATTTTATGTAAAAGTTCGTAAGTATCTCCCAAAATAAACAGTGTCCCCCATATCTGGCTGATTATTCCTTTTTGTTAGGTTTCAAACAGTTACATGCTCTTTCCAAGAGCAGAAAAAGCTCTGAAGATTTTGTCCACATTCACGCTGCTGATAGCATTAGAACATAAATCACCCCTGTAGCCCCCAGGTAGGGCCAACAGAAAACATGTGAACTGAGGCTGGAAAGAAGTTCTGTCCCTGCCCCCAAGTAAACAACTGCTATCATATAGATAGTGTAGAGGATATAGAGAATACCCTTGAAGGATAGGCGGAAGATCCGTTACCAAGGCAACAATCAGACAAACAGGGGTTAAGCCCATCCCAAGAAACTAATTTGAAAAAACGTCTTAGACAGGTCTGTCCCCAGTTCACACAAAATAAAGTGAGGGAGGGGCAAATTCACACTTGCAAGATTCTGTTACCACAGCTGTTCTAGTAAAAGTTGCTTTAGACCTATATGGCATTGGTTTCTGGTAAATCTTATAAGGCTGACAGAGGGTTAGATAATTCCTGTCTTGAGGGGACGGGAACTGCTTCTGATGAGAGTCAATGCAGAATCTGAGGAACCGCCTTGCCCCGGTCATTTCAGCCCGCCCCACTCAGTCCAGCAGAAGGGG